GTGCACTGTTGATGGGAGTGTAAAATTGTATAGCTACTGTGGAAGACAATATGGTGGTTCTCAAAAAACTGAAAACAGAATCACCATATGATCCAGCAATTCCACTTCTGGGTGTATACCTCAAAGAAATGGAAACAAGTTCTTGAAAAGATATTTGTAAATCTATTTCATAGCAGCATTATTCACAAAAGCTAAGTCGTGGAAAAAATCCAAGTGACCATTGAAAGATAAATGGGTAAACAAAATGTGGTATATACATACAACAGAACATTATTCAGCCTCAAAAAGGAAGGAATTTATGACACATGCTACCATATGGATGAACCTTGAGGACATTATGCTAAGTGAAATAAGCCAATCAGAAAATGACAAATACTATATAATTCCACTTACATGAGGTACCTAGAGCAGACAAATTCATAGAGACAGCAAGTAGAAATGTGGTTGCCAGGGTCTGGGGGAAAGGAAGAAATAGAGAATTATTATTTAACGGGTATAGAGTTTCAGTTTTAAAGATGAAAAGAGTTCTGTAAATGGATGTTGGTGATGGTAGCACAATACTATGAATATATTTAATACCACTGAACTGTACACTTAGAAAGGGGTAAATGGCAAATTTTATGTTATGTGTATTTTACCACAATAAAAAAATCAGAAAAACAAGAGAAAAAAACCCAGAGAGAATAAACAGAAACAAAAAAACATTGATAGAGCTAAATCTAAACATATCATTGCTTACATTAAATATAAATTGTTTAAACACATCAATTTAAAGACAAACATTGTCAGAATGAAAAAAAGAATGACCCAACTATATACTGTCTGTAAGAAATTCATTTCACTATAATGATATTGATTAGTTAAAAGGATAAGATGCAGAAAGACTTACCGTATAAACATTAACCAAAAAGAAAGCTGTATATATTTTTTTTTTTAAAAAAGGAAAGCTGTAGTGGCTATATAAGACAAAGTAAACTTCAGAGCAAAGAAAATTACCAGGGATAAAGAGAGAGATGATGTAATGATAACAGTGTCAATTCATTAAGAAGATATAACAATCTTAAATGTGTATGCATCAAACAACAAAACTGCAAAATAAATGAAGCAGACTGATAAAAATGACAGGAGAAATAATCCCCGATTATACTTGGAGATTTCAATAGCCCTCTCTCAGTAATCAGCAGAACTAGCAGACAGACTCAACAGGCAACAAAACTGAACATCAACCAATGAAGCTAACAGACATGTACAGAACGTTCCACCCAACAGTATAACACATTTTCTTTTCAGGTGCATATAGAACATTCACCAACATAGACTATATCCTGGGCCCCAAAACAAACTTTAACACATTACAAATGGTTGAAACTCTAACAACACTTACAAACAAAAAGAGAAAGAGGACACAAATTGCAAATAGAAATGAAAGTAAGGATATCACTACAGACCATGCAGATATTCAAAGGATAATAATAAAATAGTACATACAATTTACACACAAATTCCACAACTTGGATGAAATGAAATAATTCCCTCAAAGCCACAAAGTACTAAAACTTACTGAAGGAGAAATTGATATCATGATGGGTCCTAGAAGAATGAAAAAACATTGAATTTATTGTTAAAAACTTTCCAAAAAATAAATCTCCAGGCCCAGATGGTTTCACTGGGAATTCTACCAAACATTTAAAGAATAAATAGCCCCAATTCTACACAATCTCTTCTAGAAAACAAGAAGAGGAAGGAACATTTCTGATTTTATGAGACCAGCATAACTCTGGGTACCAAAACCAGACAAAAAAGAAAACTACACCCAATGTCTTTCATGAACATAGATGCAAAATTTCTCAGCAAAATATTAGCAAATAAAATCCAGTAATATATATATAAAAAAATACACCATGACCAAGAGGTTTTTGTCCTTGGAATGTAAGGCAGTTTTTCCTTATCATTCACCATATTAACAATTTAAAGAAGAAAAACCACATGATCATATCAATGGATATGGAATAAGCATTTGACAAAATACAACATCCATTCATCCAAAATACATGACAAACTGGGAACAGAAGGAAACTTCTTCAACCTGATAAAGGGCTCTACAAAAAACCTCTAGCTAGCATTATGCTTAATGGTGCAAGATTGAATTCTTTCTCCCCAAGAGTGGAAACAAGGCAGGATGTCCACTCTCATCACTCCTTTTCAACATAGTACTGGATATTTTAGCCAGCACAATAAGATATGAAAAAGAAATAAAAGGCACACTGGTTGGAAAGGAAGAAACAAAACACTCCGTCTTCAAAGATGACATAATTATCTATTTAGAAAATCCCAAGGAATCAACAGACACAAAATCTCCTAGAATGAATATGTGGGTTTAGGAAGGTTACAAAAAACAAAATCAAATACAGAACAATCATACATCAATATACTAGCATGTACAATTGGCAAACAATAACATTTAAAATAGCTCCAATAAATGAAATACTTAGGTATAAATCTAACAAAACACATACAGGATCTGAATGCTGTAAACTACAAAGTGCTGATGATAGAAATCAAAGTCCTAAATAAATGCACAGACATTTTGTGTTTGTGTATTTGAAGTCTCAATATAGAAAATATATCAACTCTTCCCAAACTGATCTATAGAGGTAATGCAACTCCAACAAAAAGCCCAGCAGAATTTTTGTAGATATATAGAAGCTGATTCTAAAATTTGTATGGAAAAACAAAAAAATATGAAATAGCTAAACAATTTTGAGAAGGAAGCATAAAATTGGAGAAGTTGTACTACCTGATTTTAAGACTTACTATACAGTAATGAAGGCAATGTGGTATTGGCAAAGGAATGGATGTATAGATCGACATAACAAAATAGAACATCCAAAAATATACCCACACAGATAGGGCCAAACGACTTTGACAAGTGCACAAAAATAATTCAATGGTGAAAGGATAGTCTTTTCAAAAAATGATGTTGGAACAATTGGATATCTATATGCAAAAAACAAACCTCCTCCTAAACCTCAGAACTTAAACAAAAATTAACTCAAATGAATCATAAATCTAAATGTAATACATAAGAGTATAAAACTTTTAGAAGAAAATCTATGTGACCTTGGATTTGGCAATGAGTCCTTAGATGTGACATCAAAAATGCAATCCTAAAAAAAAAGATGAGTTAGACTTCATCAAAATTAAAAAGAATGTCTGAGAAAGACCCTGGTAAGAGTCTGAAAAGGCAAACTACAGACTGGGAAAGAATATTTGCGAATCACACATCAGACAAAGTCTTGCATCCAGAATATATCAGGAATTCTCAAAACTCAAAAGCAAGAAAACAAACAATTCACTTTTAACGTGAGTAAAAGACATGTACAAACATTTCACAAAAGTGGATATAAGGATGGCAAATAAGCACATGGAAAGATGCTGAACGTCACTAGTCATTATGGAAATGCAAATTATAAAACCACTACGAGAACTACTACACACCTGTTAGAATGTTTTTTAAAAATATATACTGACAGCTCCAGTTGCTGATGAGGATATGAAACAACTAAAACCCTCATACATTCTTGGCAGGAGTGCAAATTGGTACAGCCCCAATGAAAAATGTTTCACAGTTATTCATTAAGTGAAACATATACTCATGACCCAACAATCCCACACCTGCATATCTACCCTAGAGAAATAAAAATGTATGTTCACACAAAAACCTGTACACGAATATTATTTATAGCAGGTATACTTATAATTGCCTCAAGCTGGAAACAAACCAAATGTCCTTCAATGGGGAAAAATCTGTGTTCCATCCATCCATAGACTAGTACTCAGCAATAAAAAGGAATAGATTTTTGATCCATGCAAAAATTTGGATGAATCCCAAAGATATTATGTTGAGTGGAAAAAAAAGAAGTCTCAAAAGGTTACATACTATGTGATTCCATTGACATGACATTCTTGAAAAGACAGAATTTTTAGGATAGAGAATAGATGAGTGGTTCCCAGGGGTTAAAGTTTGTGGGAGGCAGTGACATTAAAAGGATAGACAGTGGAGGGAGTTTTGCGGGTTGACAGAATTGTTTAGTATCCTGACTATAGTAGTAGTATATGAATCTATACGTGTATTAAAATTGATAGAACTCTATAAAAAGTTCTCAAAAAAGGTCAAATTTATTGTATAATAATATAAAAATAATAAAATAAAAATAATAAAAATTAAAAATGTAAAAGTGTGTAATGAAGTCTTCCTCCCAACTCTACGTCCATTCACCCTGTTCCTACTCGCCCACTCTGTCAATGGACAGAGCTATCCATTGTCACTGCTTGCTCATTCATCCTTCTAGAGTTTCTTTGTGTATACGCAAGCAAATATGAATATTATTTTCATTTTCCTCTGCTTTCTCGCAAAAGTGACGCAGTTTACACAGTATTTCTTTTACTTAATATTATACCCTGGGCCTCTCCTCACATCACAGTAAAGGGCTACTCTTTGGCTCCTAAATTCTAGGAGAAGGTTTAGTTGCAGCCTTGGATTTGGTTTAGTTGATGATTTTCACATATTGCATGCAAGATCGTTGAGGAAGAAGGATTTGTTCTCTAGGACTGCACCCAAGAGGCAGGGAGGGTCTATTTACTGAAGTGTTAGCCAGGTACATGGTACACACAGGCCCATTGAGATGTGCCAAGGCTAAGTTACTGCCAGAAATAAATGCTCAGATTCAAACTGCTATTGTCTCAGACCGCCTGGCTTATATGGTAAATATTTGCAGGATAAATGGCTTCATTTTAGTGTGGGTTGGAAGGGAACTCAGGCACCTCCATCCAATTCCTGGGTTCTGGCTGTCTATTCTGTAAAGCCACCAGATACCAGAGGCTGGTGCCTGGACCATTGGCTTAGACAAATCGCTCCCTCCCATGGCCAGGACACCTGAGCTGCCCAACACCCATCCCAGAATCAGTCAAACCAGACAATCCACATCTCCCCGACATACCTCTCCCAGGATGCTTTTTAATTCCAGTGTTTGACCTTCACTGACCCTCTGCTCCTTCTAAGACTTGTAAAATGTTTCCTTTATCACATTCTCCAGAAAGTTGCCCATGTATTTGAAAAATAATACAAATTTTTGGTTAACATGAACTCTTGATCAAGCCTAGATATGATTGCTACTGTTCTCAGCACACTCCTTCAATGTGGGTGGAGGATCTGAATTCTAGATTCTAGATTCTAGACTGATTACTCCATTTTAGATCTAGAGAAACTGAGGCCCCATAACTTAGTAGTGTGCAGAGGGAGGAGACAGTGTGGTATAGTGAGAAGATGGAAAGAGTACAGCTTTTGGGGTCAGATATTCAAGATCGGGGTCAAATTCTACCTCTGCTACTTACTAGCTGTGTGACTTTGGCAAGCCACTTAGGTTTTCTTAGCTTAGTTTCCTCATCCATAAAATTCATGAGGTAGTTGTAGGGATGGAGAGACAAGATATATAAAACACATGGCTTGGTGCTTGGCACATTGCTCATGTTAAAAAAAAAAAAGCAGATATTACTTTTTTGTGTCTTTGGACACAGGAATTTCTACCAATCTCTTCAAGCCATGAGATGGCATGGTGAAATGTAGCGGTCAAGCATGCCAGACTGTCTGGGTTCAGTTGTGGGTCCATAATGGCGTAACTTTGGGCAAACAATCTCTCTTGGCCTCAGTTTTCTTATCCGTGAAAATTGGCATGAAAATAGTACCTACCTTACAGAGTTGTGACAATTCAATAAGATGATGAAGCGTAGTGACTGCCATATACAAAGTGTTCAATAGATATGATCAGGAATGCAAGATGATAAGCCAGACCACAAGCTTCTGTCAATGTCATGTCTGCTGATATCCCATTGGCCAAAACAAGTCATGCAGAAAGTATACTCTGCCCCCAGCTGGAGGAAATGCGCCTTGCATAGAAAAGGGTATAAATATATAATCCCATTACAGGGGAGAGAAGATTGGGAGCAATAATCCAATTTACCACAGGTGCCTGGGACTTTGACACTGGCTGGGGCAAAGAAGTGGCATTGATCTGGTTCAGACACATAACCTCATAAACAGCAATAATAAAAAAGTAATAATAACACCTGCCATTTATGGAGCACCAACTATGGTGGGAGGGGCCATTCTCAGAAAATAGGAATATGAGCTGGGCGGACAACTCAATGAATTTTCTTCCTTTCATTTCTGACTCTCTCTATGTCTCTCCCCTCATATAATGCTGTAACTCATGGTGTAGGCTGTCCCATTTCAAGAAGTTAATAATAAAGATGAAATAATAGCAACAATGACAAAAGTAAGAGTAATAATATTTAAGTAATTTATGTAATAATGTGTCAGGCACTTCATGCATATTATTTCATTTAATCCTCATAATAACCCCATGGTGTAGGTGTTATTTATCTTATATTGTAGATGAGGACGCTAAGGCTTTGAGACCAAGTGGCTTTACCAAAGTCACACAGCTGGTAGGGAGCAGAGCTAGAATCTGAACTGTTTGAGTTCAAAATCTGTGTTCTTATTATTTCACTCTTCCTCTTCTCTGTGCACCACACAAAGTTCCACATGCCTCTGTTCTCCAGATCTAGAATGGAGCAAATGTTCTAGACCCTCTGCCTACACTAGGGGAGTATAGAAATAGTAGTATGCCTATCGGTACTCATGTTACAGAAAACTGTATTTCTCAAATTCATGAAGGATATTCTGAGCTAAGAGTTGAATAGAAAGCCCACCAGGGAGATGTGTGTCCAGGAGCTGAAGTCTGTCTTGTCTCACAGGGAAAGGTGGAGGGGGGTAGGGAGCTGTGGTGTCTGGCCTGATGGAATTCCTGGGCTTACTCAGCTGATGGCTGAGGCGCCAGGCTCTGGACCTTGGAGGCTGCCCAGAAGAGCCCTCTGTATTAGTTTCCTAGGGCTGCCTTAACAGAGTACCACAAACTGGGTTTAAAATGTCAGAATTTTTTTCTCTCACAATTTTGGAGCCTAGAAGTCTGAAGTCAAGGAGTCAGTAGGGTCATGCTCTCTCTGAGACTGGGTAGAATCTTTCCTTGCTGCTTGCTAGCTTCTAGGGGTAGCTGGCAATCTTTGGTATTCCTTGGCTTGCGGCTGCATCACTTCAGTCCCTGCCCTGTCTTTACATGGTGTTCCTCCCTGTGTGGGTGCCTGTGTCTAAACTTCCTTCTTCTTATAAGGACACCAGCCACACTGAAGTAAGGGCCTACCCTCACTCAGTATGACCTAACCTTAACTTGAACATCAGCAAACACCCTCTTTCCAAATCAGGTCACATTCACAGGTACTAGGGGTTAGGACTTCAACATGTCTTTTTGGGGGACACAATTAAATCCACAACACCCAACATGACCTAGGACTTGGGTGGGGTAAACATATCACCTCACGTGGCCTTGGAGCCCTCAGTGCAGCTGAGACAGGGTTCTTCCAGGTGGCCCTCAGACAGATTAAAAAGCATGCTCCAGAGAGGTCAAGCTATAAGTTCCATTCTCCTGCAGGTGTGGGACCATCCCTTGCTTTGCGACTGAAGACTTGCCAGGTCCTAGAAACATCTGGGAAGTATTTTTGTTGAGGATAATTGAACATTTGAGGAAAATATTAGTGTGACATTCCTGCCTGGTGGCTCCTCCCTGATGCACTGCTCTTGCACTGCCTCCCACCACACTTGTGGTCTGGTGGCCTAGAGAGAGTATGGGCTCTTGAGGGAAAGCCCAGCTCCATCTCTCACTGTTTAACCTTAGGAGTATTATTTCACCTCTTGGAGCCTCATTATTCCTCATCTGTCAAAATGAGGCTGTCAATACTCAGAGTTGTAAAAATGAAATGGTGTAATGTACAGGAAAGTATGCATAGTAAGTGTTCATGCCTTCCCTTCCCTGTCCTTACTAGGTGGGATCAGAAGGATGGATATGCCAGTTATCACTTCACCAGTTCAATTCACAAATGTTTATTCAGCATTTACTACATACCTGACTTTGTGCCAGGCCCTGGGGATACAACAAATAATAAGATCAATTCTTGTCCTGTGAGAACACACAACCAAGTAATATTATAGTAAGTATTAAGTGCCTACTCTATGAAATATTGACCACATATAACACTCCTAATTTTTACAACATTCTGTATGGTCTTAGCATCCCCTTCTTGCAGGTTAGGGAACTGAGGCTCAGATGGAAGAAAACAGTCAAAGATCATGCATCTGGGATTTAAACCAGCCTGACTGAACCCAAAGACCTTGTCTCCTGATGGATATTGCAATTTTAAAACCAAATCTAAGAGAACAAGATTATTTTTGGCCTGGCTCTAAAACCTTGCCCAAAGGAGAGCTGGTTCCAAGAACAAGAGAGGTGGTGTCAGCATTTCTGGATGGTGTGTGGCTCCCCAAGACCAGCTTGGAAGGACGGTGCATTTTTGAGCTCACATTCTGGCATGTCTTCTTGGTTTTATTCCTACTCCTACTCTGCATGATATATGTTTGATGAGTAGCTGTGAGATGATCAACTTTACCTTTGGAGCTGCCCTTCTGTTCTCCTTAGCATATTTCAATTTCTCAGACACAAAATGAGCCAGTTCTGATTAAGAGGCCCAGTCATTTCATTATACAAGACTCTGAAGCTTGGGGTCAGTGTTAAAGCCAGTGTTCTTTAAAGACACACACACACGCACACTCATACACACATAAACTGCAGGTCAGGAGGTCTGTGGATTCAGAAGATATTTTAACAGGCCTCTCTAGTTCTTAAAAGAATGAAACTTCCAGGTGCACTGACCTGAGAATGCAGAAGCCACTTTGGCCTCTGCCCAACGCTGAAGACCTGGGAGGCCTAGGGGTCCTGGGGGCTAGTGGTGTTAGGGACGATCTTGATAGGCCATGGGAACAAACAGGATCTGTTGCTCCTTCTTAATCTGTAAAAAAATCAAAATCTCAGTTTTGATTTTTGGCTGCTGACAGCTTTCAAGCCCCATCGCTCCCTCCTCCCGTTTGCCCCCCATCTGGGCAAGCTGACGAGAACACCCAGGTGCACCCTCCTTTAGCCCCTGTGGGAAGTTCAAGCCACACAAGCTCTTGCTCACAGGTGGAAGCCCTCACCCCAGCCCCGCGCCCCAACCACCACAAAATCCCAAGACATTTTCAGATCTGCTTGGGAGCCTATCTGCTCTCCCTAGAAAGCCTCATTATGTAAGTTATAACCATTTTAATACCCTCTTGGTGCATGTGTGGTGTCATCAGTCTTGACATCTGAACAAATTTTGAGTGAAGGTACAGCCTATCCAAATGGAGTGACAGCCTCTTTTGTTTTAGCTCCAAGGCCTGTGCTGCTCTAATATGTCTGGAATTACTTCTGATTCCTTCATTGGGCTCCTCCTCCCTGTGGGGGAATTCCTAGTGCAGGACAGGCCCTCACCAAAATTGTTCGGTACATGAAGTTTCTTTTCTGGGGTCCCAAGCCTGCCCTTTGGCTTTTTCCCTTCAGGACATTCCTCTCATATCCATCAGCTACTAAGGCCCCTAGCCTTCTAACCCACCTTCACACTCTCCCTTCCACACCCTTAATCAAAAGGCAGTGGGGAAAGGATCTGAATAACTCCATCCCACCAAGTCTTGAATGACTTGCGAATTTTAATACATTACTCTTGTGGGGAGGAGACCCTCAATAGTTTTAGTAAAAGGACTCACTTGCTAATGGTGGAACTTAAGGCATCAGCAACAGGATAGGTTTCTATGTAGTTAGGGTCCTCACTTCCAAACATCCCCTTCAACACTTCAGCTAAAATTCCACAGTTAGGGCTTTGCTCCTTTGGTTCAAAGCTTCATTCTTCTGCTAAGGCAACTCCTCCTCCTGTGTACACAATTATCATGTCCTTTCCTGAGGGTAGCATTTTAATTGTTTTTTTTTTTTTTTTTTTTTTTTTGAGGAACATTAGCCCTGAGCTAACTACTGCCAGTCCTCCTCTTTTTGCTGAGGAAGCCTGGCATCCGTGCCCATCTTCCTCTACTTTATACGTGGGATGCCTAGCACAGCATGGCGTGCCAAGTGCTGCCATGTCCGCACCTGGGATCTGAACTGGCGAACCCCTGGCCGCTGAGAAGCGGAACATGTGAACTTAACTGCTGCACCACCAGGCCGGCCCCCCTGAGGGTAGCATTTTAGGGGGAAGGGATGGAAACCAGAAGGATGTTTAGAAGTCAAGAAGGCAGGAAGTAAATGGAAACTTTTATGGGGGGAAAGGTTAAAGGGACCAGCAAGAATGCTCAGAGGCCTGGAAATTCTGGAATGGCCTGATTTCCAGGCACCTCAGATATGCCCAGTTACACAAAGCACAAAAGGAGTTTGACCTAGAGAAGGTTAGCGCTGCCAGTGACCTCAGAGGCTACCAGCCCAGCCTCACACTTTCACAGATGAGGAAACCAGTGTTCAGAGAAGTTCCCTACCCAAGGGACTGAACTAGCACCAGACCAGGAATAGAAATCAGATCTCCTGTCCCCGAGATGTCACCATCAGTAGTGAGATGCATCACAATTAGTCTGTTACAAACAATCAAGCATGGCTTTCGTGAGTGAATTCGTTTTCTAACACGTTGCTGGAGCTCACCCGTGTTCTAATATGCTTTTGCAAATGCGGAAAAAATAGGTATACCACTCCCTGGAATTGGCCTAGCCCTGGACATGTCCATGGACGTGTGGTGTGCATATGAACATTGCCATGTGTTTAGGGGGTGTGTAGG